ACAAACAAATAGAAATAACGACATATTTTTGAGCCACTCTATTTCAAAAACTATCAATTTTTGGCATAGGGTATGTTAGAGAAAAATTATTTAGAATTGTTCAGAGAGTCCAAAAAAAAAAAAGATAATATACAGGGTGTCCCATTTAAATTAACAAAGTCAATGCCATTTCGGGTGAAACCGGAAAAGACATTCAATTGTTTTTACAATAAAATTGTTCACAATTTTCAACCCTACCAACAAACCGAGTTACATATTTCTATCTTGAGCCGTTAAAAAATACCGCCGTGGGTAGTAGTTTCATTGTTACCCGGTATAGATCAAAATTTGAATAGGAGGGATCACATAATGCATATAACTAGTAAAATCGTTCCAATGCTAGGCGCTGTATATAGAGTTCGAGACTATTTGACACATGGCAGGATGTATATTTACAATTCATTCTTTCTGTCGCATATCCACAAGCATTATACTAGGACTCAACGTGATATACAGTGAGCACGTAAAGGTTGGAATAAAATCTATAAAATATACAAGGTGGATATTTTTCAAAAAATCTCGGACACGTCAATTTTTGATTTTATTGGCCATTTTTTTGATGATAATACCATATATACAGGGTGACCCAAAAACAAGTTGACAGAGGCTTAAAAAGTGATAAGCCTTTTGGGATTATCGCGCTTGGTGGCATTTATGGCAAATTCTATTATAGCTTTTTTTTTTAAATTTTAAAGTATTATAGTTTAGTTCATTGTATAACTTTTTGAATAACACTCGATTTTTCAGGATTACCTAATACTTTTACCTGACACTCAACGCAACGCGTTACCAGCAACACCACTCCTCCTTCGGAGTCCTGGTGTTGCTGCGTAACGCGTTTCGTGATAGGTAAAAGTATTATCCAGTTATCCTGAAACCTCTTGTGGTATTACATTCGATAACAGACCACCAACCCCTAATTTCAATTTTTACAATACCCTTAAACAAGTGTCCTGCTCGTTTACAAAGAATGAAGCTACTATTATAAAAATGTGACATAATACTTAAGTTTAGGCCTGGAAAACAGTTGATCTTAGCTGACGCTCTTTCGTGTGCATATATACCTCAGAGATATGTGAGGGAAATAGAATGCGCTTAGACGACTGCGCATCCGATTTTATGGTAACGCATAGGGTGCCGCCATTTTTATCACTTTTCACTTATGCCGTTTCCGATTAGTAGATCTAGTGCAGTTTTTTTTTTATTTCTGTCTTTTTCTTCTACAGGTTGATGAAAAAGGATGAGAATACACTCAGTGCGCATTAAATCTACCAATCGGAAACGCCATTAGTCTTTACGTTGACAACTTCAATCTGACAAATTTTTCACAACATAACCTTACTTTTGGTCGGTTACAGATTGTTGTTTTTGGCGATTTTTCCTGTTTTTTTCTGAGATATTTTTATCAGAACGGTGTTTTAAAAGATTTCTTTTTGTTATTTCTGCTTATTTTTGGAGTTATGAGTTGTTCATGACCTATTTTTCCAACACTTAATTTGACAAGTGATAAAAATGGCGGTCCTTCAAATTCGGCCAGTTGCGCAGGATGGACCCTTATTCTATTCTAACCAACAACTCTCCCGTATCTCTGATATACCTTCTAGCGAAAGTACAAATTTGGATGAAAAAATTGACACTTGACATACAACCTAAAATCTGTAGAGAAGAGCAAATCGTAAAGGGGTCGTCATAAGGAGGTTGAATCAAAAATCACCTTATTGGTGGGATCAAGAAATAGATAAAAACATAGCAGATAACAGGAACAAATATCAACAGTATCTAAGTTCAAATAAAACACGAGACCCAGAAATATATAAAGAAGCACAAATAAAAATTGACTTTTTGTATTAAGTTACGAAATATTAATGGGTAGAAGGGGTCGCGACCTCATAAGGAAATCTGAAAATGGATCGTGACTCAAAAAAGGTTGCGAACCACTTTAATACAGGGTCATAAAAAAATATATAGGGTGTCAAAGTAAGAGTTTCCGGATGTTTTTCTCAATTCAAACGAAAAGGAAACTAGGAAACACAATTTTTTTGCCAAAATTTTCGATCACATCTGTGCATATTTCTGGTAGTAGGTACCTCACGAATAATACACCGAATCTCATCTTTCAATTCTTGCATTGTTTGGGGGATTGTTAACGTACACATCCACAAAAGAGTCTAGTGGCATAAGATCGCAAAATCTAAGCGGCCAATTGACATCCTCATGTCTTGAAAAAAATTTACGTTCAAACCGTGTTTGCAATAAGTCAATGGTTTATCTTGGAGTATGACATGTTGCGCCGCTTACATCAAAAAAAAAGTGTATGTGAACAATCCCCAAACAATTCAAGAGTTGAAAGATGTGATTCAGCGCATTATTCGTGAGAAACCATCGGAAATGTGCATAGATGTGATCGAAAATTTTGGCAAAAGAATTGTGTGCTGGTGAGAGAAGTGGCGAAGGGTATTTGTTGGATATTGTGTTTCACGTATAATTTAAACGAAATCGGCCTGCTAGATATTTAGTTATGGTCTTACAAAAAGTGACCAAAAACTGGGGTGTTCGAGTTCGATTGATGCGTAGAAATTCACCTGACTGTCATTCTACCGCTTGCACATTCAAAAACGCGATGGTATTGTGCATAAACACGGATGTGGATGTCTGAAAACATGTACGCACATATATGAATGCGTAAACAAAAACATCAATGTGTATGCACAATACCGTCGCGTTTTTGAATGTGCAAATTGTAGAATGACGTTTAAATGAATTCTGGAATCGCTAGAACTTTTGTATGCACACTTGGAATAATGTAGCAAGAGTAGCAAGACTGACAGTTTTGTGCGAGCGTCTGTACAAAAGTGACATGCACGTTGTTGTTTGCACGTATATGTATCAATCCATCCACGTCTGTGTGTAACCGCCTTTACACACAAATCCCGGTACCGTTTTTCATTCATACTTTCTCTCATTGAAATTACCAGTTCAGTCTACCAATAAATAACCCCCCCCCCTTAAACCTGTCACGCCGCCATCACCAAAAGTTCCTCTTACTTCTATGCATTCTTCTCTATAGCTCTCATGCGTTTCTCTACATACTAATACACGCCCGTCATTCTGATACAACGTGAATCTGCATTCATCCACAAACAAACATACCTAACATTCAGCTACTCCCCAGTATCTATTGTCTATGAATATTAGCCCAGTTTATTTGTGCTCTCCGATGGACATGCTGTCTGGCTCTTAAATTTCTCTCATGGAAACGTCTTTAAATTTTTGATTTTGAGGCTTCAATTCCCAACGCGATCCTTATTCGCGCAGAATTGAGAGCTCTGTTTTGTCGCACTGGTAAAATAATTCTGTTGTCATTCCGGGCCGAAGAAATTCTTGGTTTACCACCTGCAATGCCTATGAACAACGGTGCCAGTGTTAAACCCCATTTTATTGGCCATAAAATTGTGCGACTTTGCCCTAATTTAACCGACCTCCGACCTCGTATCTTTAATAATAACCAAGATAGCTCTGGTTAGAAATATAGACTCACTGTATATTTTTGTATGTATAATATGTTTTAAAGTGTGTTTCCACATGCGCCATAATTGTAGTGTAATGAGGTTAATATCTATATTTTACATATAATCGCATAGCTTAAGATAAAATCGTAGTGGGTTGCGATATTCAGAAAATCTCAAAAACGTTTCGAGGTACTAAGGTACTCTTCTAAACTGCTTATCAAAAATCTACGTAATCCACCCTCCAGCAGAACGGGGTGAACCCAAATTTTCGCAAAAAAATCGCCAACTTATGTCTCACCCTGTATCTTTTAGCAGGTGGCCGGAAATCTGTTAAGAACTGGAAATTAAATAGTAATTAGAGCATCCTTCCACTCCTGAAAATTTGAACAAAATCGGCCTGCTAGATTTTGAGTTATATATAACTTTATGGCAAATTTGAGAGGCTGTAAAACTTAAACGGTTAATTTTAGAGGAAAACCGATTTTACATTCCTATCTTAGATTTTTATGAGCTATCATTTGACACCAACTTTAAATTCAATCCGAGATTAAATTTAATTGGAATTTTTAATCATCATTTTCAAAAATTTCTATCAAGCGTTGGAACTTTAAAGGAAAATTTAGTAATTCCCACCATCACATATCAAATGGGTTAGATGAGCGTTGTATTGGTATAGGTGAAAATATATTAATACAATAAGGAAAAGTCTGGAATAGGGGTAAAGTGGAAAATATTGTAAATTATAGATTTTATATGGTTAAAGTTTTATTACTAAGACGAAAATGGAAAGTTTTTAAATAAAACAAACTTGCTTTATATTAATAATAAATCCCAACTTTATGATGCAAACTTATTCATGAGTGATAATTTAGATATAAGTTTGGGCTAAAATAATTTACCAAAATTATTGGAACCAAAATAAAAATTCAAAACAACCTAAACAAACTACAGATATTTAATGATAAGTACTACCAGGTACAACTTAAGAGTACAGTCATACCATACATACGAAAAACAATAAACAAAACCAATTATTATTTAATATCAATACATTTCCTATAGTTTTAGTTTTGGTATCGATCATCACGTAGGTATTTTTTTATTTCCGTACTCTTATCAATTTTGTATAAAAGCGAAAATATCGCCAGCAAAAAGCACAGTTGACGATTCACTGCATAATTTAAAAAAACAAAAAAAAAAAATGGCACTCAAATTCGTTCTTGGTATGGTGGCTCTAGTAGCTGTTGTCAATCAGGTAAATTTTAAGAGAAATGGGTTTTTATTTATTAATATCTAATTTCAATTATTGATCAGCCTTTGCCTTGTGTATTTATTGAAAGGTACTAGGTACCTATTTTACTTACTCAAGGTTTTGTTTCCTTCGTCAAAAAGATCTAAACTCGAACTTTATAACGTTAATATCTGTATAAAATATTTTATATTTTGTTTCAGGCCACCGCATTCAAATGCTATTCTCGACCTTGCGCTAAGTCTCGTGGAAGTTGTTATAACCCAGCTCCAGTTCCATCTTGGAGAGGATCGGCAACTTGTTATAACCAAGCTCCAGCTCAATCTTGTACCGCATCAGCAGCTTATTCTGACGCAGCTCCAGCCCCAGCTCCTTCTACCGAAGCACCTACAAAAGTAGACCAGAAATCCGACGTAGTCTTTCCTGTAGGATTGCCAACTAAAATTCCACTTGGAAATCACTGTGTCTGTCAAAAATATGTTATGAGGCCTTACATGATCCCATCTTGTGACAACAATGCCGGTCAAGAATGTGCTCCTGCTTGCGCTCCAGCTTTTGCTCCAGCTTGTGTTCCAGCTTGTGCTCCAGCTTATGCCCCAGCTTGTGCTCCTGCTCGCGCTCAAGCTTGTGATCCAGCTTGTGCTCCTGCGCCAGCTACCTCTGGAATGTCACCAGCCACGATGGCCCTTTTAGGCCTCCTTCCGTCACTTTATGGATCAGCAGCAGCTCACGGAGCATCTTGTCAAGCTCCTGCATCGTCCTGTCAAACTTCTGCATCGTCTTGCCCAGCATGCGGCTGCTAATTTTTTTTTTTCACGCCAGTTGTTCTGGACGTGTCAAGATTTATTTGAATAAAGTTTTTCTGTGACCCTAAAAAACTGTTTTACTTTATCTGGTTAATTTATTTTTAGCTCCAAGTGAAAAATAAGTTATAAGTTGGTAATAGTTTGGGTTGTAGTTCTCATTGAGATTGAGAGCTTTGAAAAAAATTGAGTAGGTACTTATAATCAAGTTTTTGAGAAAGTTTGAAGTTTTGGACAAAATTTCCACCAAAATTGAAATTTGATGACCAATGCTCCAGAAAATTTAAGTGCTCCACAAACCAATCAAGCTCAGTTTATAGAACATTTATTGCTCTTCATGTATGATTTAGATCAGCTTTCTCGAATATCCATGAAAATGCTATTCCAAAACCAGAGTAGTTGGATTTGTATTAGGTACCAAAACCTTTACAACTCAGTAGGTTTATTGATTAATTTCTACAATAGGTAGGTATTAAAGTTTGAACTTGATCTCCAGTAATAGTGTTGGGTGGAAATCGGCTGGTAATCTTTCTTTTTAATTGTTACTCGACTTTTTTAATTAATTTGTGAAATAAAAGTCTGGATGTTTTTGGATTCCTTTTATCAAAGGTATCATTTTTTAATTGCAAAAAAACAACATGCTAACAAAATCATATGTATCTCTCAAAGTCAGAAAAATTGGACATAATTGACAGACGATACTCCCACCTTTGAAGAATATCTTCAAAAAACAAATAAATAAACTTGCAAATAAATTAAATTAAATTAAACAAAAATAATTGATGCGTATATGTATCAAATAATCAACCATTGTTGACTTCTTCTTGAAGCGGTAGTGGGCAAAGATGGCGTACAGATCGGGTAGTTCTACCAGTTGCAGTTTGAATCTCGGCGACCCTCTTGATTCCATCTTTTCCTGCATGTAGAGCGATAATTCGTCCCAAAGGCCACTTGAATGGAGGTTTGGCATCATTTTTGATGAGGACCAAATTACCCTCTTTGATATTTGTAGGAGCTTCTTTCCATTTATACTGGACATGAAGTTGGGAAATATATTGCGTTGAAAACTGTTTCCAAAATTGCTGAAACAGCTTCTGAACGTGTTTGAACCTGGTCATGACACTGGATTTCTCGTTCAACAGGTTGGGTTCAGGAGGATAATTAATAGTACGACCAATCAGGAAATGGGATGGGGTGATTGGAAGAAGGTCATTTGGATTATCTGACATTGAAAAAAGTGGTCTAGAATTCAGTATCCCTTCCACTTGAATCACCAGGGTATTGAACTCTTCAAATGTGACGTTTCTATTTATGAGAGCCCTTTTTAAGTGGTGTTTTGCGCTCTTGACAGCTGACTCCCATAACCCGCCAAAATTAGGTGTGTATGGAGGAATGAATACCCATTTTATCCTATCATTACATGTATAATTAATAAATTCATTTTGATTTTTTTGTAAGAAAGCACCAAGATCCTTTAACTCATTATTCGCTCCTCTAAAGGTACTTCCATTATCTGAATAAATTGTAGATGGCAAACCTCTACGTGAGATAAATCTTTTAAGGCAAGCTAAAAATGCTTCACTTGTCAAATTACTAACAATTTCCATATGTACAGCCTTCGTACAAAAACAGACAAATACAGATAAATAACATTTAATTAGTTTAGCACCTCTTCCTGGTTTATTTAAAATGAAAAAAGGACCTGCATAGTCAATCCCAGTGGTTTGGAATGGAAAACTAGTTGTAATACGTGTATCTGGTAATCCTCCCATTGGATATAGTGCAGGTTTAGGGTTAAATTTGAAACAAGTTATACAAGCCTTTACTGTTTTCTTTACCAAATTGCGACCACCAATAGGCCAATAAAATTGTCTAATAGATGCAAGTAGTAATTGCGGACCAGGATGGAGCAAATATTTATGTTTATGTTCGAAAATTAACTTAGTAAGTGGATGAACAGAATTAAGCAAAATAGGATGTTTGAAGTTAAAAGGTAAATATGTATTTTTTAAGCGTCCACCTACACGTAAAATTCCATCTTTATCAAGAAATGGGGATAAGGAGGAAAGTTTGTGGTTTTGGCCTAAAGTATTATTCTTGGCTAATGCCTTCAATTCCATACTGAAAGATTCTGACTGGGCTAATTTCACTAAAATTATGTTTACATTATCCAGCTCTTCAATTGTCAAGCAACCTGTTTTCAAAGCATTGTTTTTCTTGTTTTTATATTGTTAAAAAATCTTATACACATGGCTATGACTCGTTTAAGTTTAGTTAAATCAGAAAATCGGGTAAAAATACTATCTAAGCTTGTGGTCGTTAGGATTGTTATTTTCCTTTTAATTTCTGGCAGCTCATCCTTAGGTATATTGAAATTCACAACAGGCCACTCAGAATTAGGGCACATTAAAAAATCTGGACCTGTCCACCAAATCTTTGAGCTCACCAAATTGTCTGGGCTTAGCCCTCTAGAAGCCAAGTCTGCTGGGTTGTGTTTAGTATTTACATATTGCCACCTATTGACATCAATCAACGATTGTATTTTAGCAACTCTATTGGAAACGAACATTTGTAATAAGCTTGGATCTGTTCTAATCCAACAGAGTGCAACTTGGGAGTCTGACCACATAAATATAGAAATATTATTAGAAAGAGAAATTGCATTTTTGACTACATTGATTAGTTGTGCACCAAGCAAACATGCACATAATTCCAATTTAGGAATCGTTATTTCCTTCAATGGAGAAACTTTACTTTTTGCACAAAGAAGATGACTTTCAAATTGATCATTATTGTTCTTGCTTCGTAAATAGACTGAAGCAGCATATATGCATCCTTGGAAGCATGAATTTCAATTAATGTAAAATTGGAAGGGATGGTATTTCTTGGAATATTAAAACTGGCAATACTTGAAAGGCTATTTTGAAATTGTAAAAATGATTTTTCTAGTTCACATGGTATGCAATCATCCCAAGCAATTTTTAGAGACCACAAACGTTGAATAATGATTTTAGAAATAATTATGATTGGACTCAAAAGCCCTAGGGGATCATATATTTGTGCTATCATATATAATTGAAGTATTGTCTACAGAAAAATTTTTAATATTATATTTTAAACAATCAGGACTAGGAAGCCATTGAATACCTAAAGTTTTACAAGTTTCATTCTTATCAAAATCTAAAATAAAATTTGAAATAGTTGTTTGACTAAAATCGGATATTACAGCAGGATTATTAGAAATCCATTTTCTTAAAATGAAATGAGCTGATTTGCAAATAGAAAATATTTGTTGACATTTAACTTTCAATTCTGATAAATTGTTTGATCCTGTCAATAGGTCATCAACGTAAAAGTGATTCAAAATAGTATGGCTTGCTTCTGGAAATTGATCCATATTCTCAATAGCTAATTTTTTCAAACATTTGATAGCTAGATATGGAGCTGAACTTGTACCATATGAAACTGTATTTAATTGAGAGACTGTAAATTCATCTGAAGACTGCTCTCGCCATAAAATCTGTTGAAGAGATCTATGATCTTCATGCATAAGAATGCACCGATACATTTTGGAAATGTCAGCCGAAACAACATACGTATAAGTTCTGAAACGCAACAGAATATCTAGTATGTCATTTTGAACCTTTGGACCTATGTATTGAATGTCATTAAGGGACCATCCTGTAGATATTTTGCAGCTAGCATCGAAGACAGTTCTCAATCTTGTAGTGAGGCTATCATTTTTAATAACCCCATGGTGAGGTAAAAAATAGGAAAATTCACTGACAGTCTTGTTCGACAACTTGGACATATGGCCTAATGACTCATATTCGCAAATAAAATTGAAATAAAGATTTTTAAATTCCCCCAAATTTTCAAACTTTCTTTCTAAAGCTAAAAATCGTCTTGTGGCTATTTCCCTAGACCTACCTAGCAGACTTGGGCTAAACTTTAGTGAAAACTTTACTACAAATTGACCTTGATTATTTCTACAGGTGTCTTTTTCAAATTGAATTTCACACTCAACATTATCCTTAGACATTGGTTTATCAACCTTAACTTCTTCGAGCTCCCAAAACTTTTTTAATTGTTCATCTTCTTGAATGAAAATTTTGGAAAAATTGCAGACTGAACTGTTATTGAACTCGAAAGGATAACTTCCTGTAACAACATAACCAAAAATAGTATTTTGTAAAGTGGGTAAATTGTCTCCCAACTTTATACTTCCTGCTCGTAGCAAATCCCAAAATAAACTGGCACCAATCAATAAATCGACCTCTCTTGACTTAAAAAACTCTGGATCAGCTAATGGAACATTGGGAATTGACAATTTATTAGCATCCAAATTGAATAATGGAATATTAGTTGTGATGATTGGAGCTACAAAATTGTTGATAATCAGAATAATTAGAAAGAATGGTTAAATTGCATTTTTCTTTGAGCTGAGAAATAGCTTGAGTGATTCCAATAATGGATAAATTGGTTGGAATACATGGAAGTTTTAGTCTTTTTACTAATTTTTCTGAGATTAAATTGGATTGAGCACCGCAATCGAGCAATGCCCTACATGATACAAAATTGTCTTGTGCATCTAATACTTGATACTTAATTGTAGACAACAACACTTGGGACTGTGAACTATAGCTTGGTCTAATCATCATATTTAAATTTGGTTGCAATTCCTTGGAAATATTGTTCTCTTTTGGCAAAAAATGTAATAGAGTATTATGCTTTAAAGTTTTGTTATTTGATTTACATAGTTTACATGGAGGCAAAAAGCATCTATCAGAGGCATGTCCAGTGCGCAAACAATTTTCACACAAATTAAGTCTCCTAACATTGGATAATCGGTCATTAATAGATAAACCTAAAAATTGTGAGCACTTGTATATTGAATGGTTTTCTTGACAAAAATTGCATTTAATGGCATATGTACCTGGACTATTGAGGGAAAAGTGGTTTACATGAGAATTATAATGACTTGGATAATTATTTTTAGG